GTAAGTGACTGACTCTGTTAGAAATCTTATAATGGGCCATGTTTGGATCTTCCAACCGTACAATAATCCAAACACAAACCTCAAAAACAACACATAGACATAGACACACGTCCACATAGACATAGACACACGTCCTCTTCCAGGCAGTTTCGTAACATTTTCTGTTGATTGGAAATTCTTAATTATTGCCCTGATGGTGGAAATGGGAATTTTCACTGCTCTAGCTCTTTTCTTAAAGCCACTTCACTAATTTGTGAAGCTCAATTATCTTTTACTGCACATCAGAAATATATTCTTTGGTTTTTCACATTGTGATTAAGGGAATTTGGGCTTTGCTTTCCCTCCTATTTATATTTCTGTGAAACAGGAAGCCATGGCTGGATAATTTCATGTTCATAATCACCCTGGAGTGCTCAAAATTGTAAATATGAATGGGAATATACTTCACAGATATTTTACTCATAAGAATTTCTAGTTGGACACAATTATTGGTACCCCTAGAAATTATTTTGAGTAAAATATCTGTGAAGTATATTCCCATTCATATTTACAATTTTGAGCATACCAGGGTGATTATGAACATGACATTATCCAGCCATGGCTTCCTGTTTCATAGGAATATAAATAGGAGGGAAAACAAAGTCCAAATTCCCTTAATCATCCATCACAATGAGAAAAACCAAAGAATATATTTCTGATGTGCAGTAAAAGATAATTGAGCTTCACAAATTAGTGAAGTGGCTTTAAGAAAAGAGCTAGAGCAGTGAAAATTCCCATTTCCACCATCAGGGCAATAATTAAGAATTTCCAATCAACAGAAAATGTTAAAAATCTGCCTGGAAGAGGACGTGCGTCTATATCGTCCTAATGCACTGTGAGAAGGAGAATTTGAGTGGCTAAAGACCCTCCAAGGACCACAGCTGGAGAATTGCAGAAAATAGTTGAGTCTCGGGGTCAGAATCTCAGGGTCAGAAAACCTTAAAAAAAAAATCAAACAGCACCTACACCACATGTTGTTTGTGAGGGTTTCAAGAAAAATTCTCCTAGCTCATCCAAAAACAAACTCCAGCATATTCAGTTATCAGACACGACTGGAACTTTAAATGAGACTGGCTTCTATGGTCAGATGAAACTTGAAAAATGAGCTTTTTAGCAGCAAACACTCAAGATGGGTTTGGTGAACACAGGGATAAAAAGTACCCCATGTGTACAATGAAATATACTGCTGTATTTTTTATGTTGTGGGCCTATATTTCTGCTGGAGGTCCTGGACATCTTATTTAGACACATGGCATCATGGACTCTATCAAATACCAAAAGATAAAAAATCAGTAAGTGACTGACTCTGTTAGAAATCTTATAATGGGCCATGTTTGGATCTTCCAACCGTACAATAATCCAAACACAAACAATGCAGATTAATTTTCACAGCCTTCTTTGATCATATTTACCAAGGGTGCCAATAATTCTGACCACAACTGTATAACAGTGTATGACATCACATTCCTAGCTAACTAACCAATATGGACAATGAATTTCTTTTGACACTGAATTAGGTAAAAGGAATTAATTGAATTGTATTATTGCACTGATCATGTTGAGACTTTGCTTTATACAAAAACAACAAAACCCAAACCAGTCAACCAGTCAGGTTTTTGACCAAAATTTGAATTTTGTTTCTCCCAAAGTGGCCTGTTGCAAATTACGTCTCATATAATTATACAATATAAATGTATAAAAATCATAAAAAAAATTACTAACATACATGCATATTAATTGCAATAAATATACTAAACTATTAAATGTAAAAAATAATGTACTGTACATGTCTATTTTTTTTATGAGTATATGACATCATGGCTAATCAGCCACTAGAGCAGTGGTTTCCAAGGCCAGGGCCCACTTCCAAGGATCCCAATAAGTCTTACAATTATTTAAATTTAGCTATATTAACATAAACTAATTCTTTAAAAACACTAAAAATAAAGTCACATTTTATTTGTTTTTATAACATATCAGGTTAGATTTGGCCTTTGAATACGGTCACAGACAAAGTGCACTGGAGTCAAAAAGGTTGAGAACCTTATATGTGCATGTGACCTTTCCAATAAATACTCAACTTCTAATCAACTGTCTCTGATCTCTTGTCGGGTGTTCTCTAACCTCATCAGGCATTATAGGAGAAAATTTAGAGCTGTTAAACTGGCAAATGGAGGTTTCAAAAAGTATTGAATAAAAGGGTGCCGTTAATTGTGGCCAATGTGTATTAGAGAAAAAAACATTTATTTCATAATGATATTTCCCCCCATTTTAAATTCTTATTATCCAATGAAAGGTTCGATTTTTGTGAATTTTTTAAATAAAAGATCAAAAGGATTAACAATGCAGATTAATTTTCACAGCCTTCTTTGATCATATTTACCAAGGGTGCCGATATTTTTGGCCATGACTGTAAATGTTATTTTTTACTGAAAATTTTATTTATGTCTTAATTATTTCATGTACACACTATTAATATGCCATTTTATAATTCATGTATATAATATTAATGTAAGTAAATCATTGTTTACAAGTAAAATAAATGAACATGATGATTATTATTATTATTATTATTATTATTATTATTATTAATAATAATAATAAATATGCTGGTGGTTTTAGTTTGTTGTTATTTTGGGTTTAAATACTGACTGAATAGTAAAGAAACTGCAATCAATCAATCAATCAATCAATCAAATAGAAAGCTGAACTATTATGTAAACTCATTGTAACACCTAAAAATACATGTTTGCACATTTACATTTAAAATACACATTTAATATTAATATATATATATATATATATATATAGAGAGAGAGAGAGAGATAACTGCTGCTGTGTGTTATAACTAGGCCAAACCCTTTTTTCCTGTTCCTGTTTTTCTGCTTCCTGCAAAGCTGCATTTTAAGTAAGAGTTTTTAGTAAAGCAAAGTATTACTGTATGGACTAGAAACATTATAATTGTATAGCTTTAGGTGCTTTCAGTCGTACTGCACTTGCTCTCCCAGTGTAGGAGTTTGGAGTAACTCCTCTGAGCAAACAGATAGTTTGATCTCTGACCTGAGCTAATCAGGCACAAATCTGGCATGTCAGAAGCCTGTCTTCACGTCCTGCTCCTCCACAGCTATTTACATACTCCCTGAACCAAGATTTTCCCTTTTTGTCTTTAGTCCGTGTGACATCTGAGTTCATCCATCCTCTTTTAAATGGAAACATTATGACATAAACACCCTCCCACCAAAAAGGTCTTGTTGAAATCTGATTATATAACAAGATTAACCCCAGAGGTTTAGACCTGCCGCCTAGCGTTGCTAGTCCACCACAGAACCGCCCCAAAAAGTAGGATTGTGTGTTTTTGAGAGCAGTTCCTTTAAGTTCAGGTCGTTACTATTGCCTTATAATTTTGTGATTACAATCATGCGTTGATTTGAGACATTTCAGGAATGTACATGTTAATACCTGTTGCAGCCGATGGAATTCAACAAGATGACAGAAGCAGAAGATGTACCACCCCTTAAAAAGGAGAACACAGTGTTTTTAGAAAAGGGTGCAGTGGTGCTTAGTAGGCAGTTATCTGTTTTTTCTGTAAACAGCCTATTCACTTCAGGGTTGGTATAGGGATGTGGGAGATTAGCTTTCCATCAAGACTAAAGGAAAATCTCCAATGAAGGAAGGAGTTTGTGGGGAGGAAGAGGAGAAGCCTAGGGCGGTTTCTTTTCTTTGTTAGCCTTTGTGCTGTGTGGCCTTGCCTGTTTGTTTTCCATATTCTGCTTCTGAACCCCCCTCTGAACAAGCCTCTTTTGATTTCTCGCAGGACGGCGGACTACAGTTCCAGCAAACCCAGGCCTGGGGAAATCATTAACCAGAGACAAAGCACAACAGCACACTGGTAGGTTCTGTGGCCTTCCCTCTCTGTCTTGTACAGTACCTGGATATTTGTGACACACTCCATCAGAGTAAGTTGTAATAGGCAACGTTTGACTGTTTTGGGTTTTGCTGTTTTTGAAAAAACAAAATTCATTCCTTTTATCTTGAAGTCATTGTCCAAATCTGTTTTGGATAGTTATTTTTATTTATTTATATCTATTTATATAGTTATTTATTTATAATATAAATAAATAGTATTACAATTAATATTTAATAATAATAATAATAATTTAACGCATTTATAGTATAATGCATTTTTTACTTGTTTACTTGATATTTATGTCTTAATTTTTAATGTACACTATCTTTCAAAATTTTGTGATCAATAAGATTTTTTTTGAAAGAAATTAATACTTTTATTCAGCAAGGATGCATTAAATTGTTAAGTTACAGTAAAGACATTTATAGTGTTACATACAATTTCTATTTCAAATAAAAGCTGTTCTTTTCAACTTTATATTCATCAAATAAAAAAAAGTACAAAATGCTCATCAAAGGAAAAAAAACTATTAAACAGAACAACCATTTTTGATTTAGTAATAATAATAAATATTTTTATCAACATATTTACATATAAGAAAAGCAGCAAATTCAGCTTTGCCATCATAGGATTTAAAAAATACATATGAGAAATACAGTATGGTCTCTGCTTTCTGTGAATACAAATATAATATAATGTAGGGATGCACCGATACCACTTTTTCCAGTACTCGCCCGTAGACTTGTGCCGGTATTCGGTAATGCGATATATTACGGTAATGATTAATTGTAGTGTCTGTTGTTTTACTGAACTAAATGATTTTTATTACTATAAAAAATCAAAATGACGGTGGGGGTCGGTGACGCGGTGGGCAAGTGGCGTAACCGGTGTTGCGGCTTAACACTGTATCACCATCAACACCGTCTATCGCGGCAAGCCTACTCACTTACATCAATGAACTATAGAGTCCTGCACCCAATAGTAAAAAAATATCAAAAATTATATCTGGTCTGAATAATTTTTGGTTTGACTGTATATCCTTCGGTTATTGTTTCTTTGTTTGAATACGGCACTTATCACATGCTGTGTGGTTTCGGCGTTTGGTATCGGGGCATTTTAACGAGTACGAGTACGAGTACAGGAGCTCAGTATCGGGCCCGTATCGGTATCGGTGCATCCCTAATATAATGTAATGTAATATAATGTATAAAAATAGAATAGAGTTATTTTAAATTGTAATAATGCCTCACAATATTATTATTATTATTATTATTATTATTATTAAATAAATGTAGCCCTGGTGAGCATAAAATACTTCTTTTAAAAACATTTAAAAAAAATCATATCTACCCTAACTTTTGAAAGTTTGTTAAATAAAAAAAAAATAAAAAAAAAAATAAAAAAAAAAATAAATAAATACATACATACATACATACATACATGATTCTGATTTTTTTTTTGAGAAACAGTTTTTTATGACTGCCAGCATTTAAGTAAACATATTGGAGTGTAAGTTTAATTATGCCATTAGAAAGCAGATACTTTCCTTTTTTTCTTCAGCACATAAAACTCGAATTGTCTTTCTGGTTCAGAATGACACAGAATGATGTAGCATGTCACTGAGTAACATATAGCGCTGGCCACTTCCGTGAGACTTCCTTGGCTCAACTGAGCTACCAAATAGGGTCAAATTCGATGGCCCAGAAGCTTCGGGAAAAATACTGTTTACTCTTGTGAATTTTATTGGGAGGGGTGATCTGGTGTTCGAAAGCCTTGGTATAAATGGCATCTACTCTAGCCATTCTTAAGAAGGAAATTGGAGAAACACATTCTCAGAATTCCAGCCTACTGTATGTCTGGCTGAAAAACGTGCGCCTTCCCAGCGATGAGAGTTTCTAATACCTCCAAATGGAATTGAACACCCTTTGAGTGTAGACTTGCAAACTTTGCTTTGTATTCATGCAGGTTATCACCGTATGACAGATGTCCTGCCCTGAGGTCTCAAGCTGAAAAACAATTATGGTATCTTTTGGATTAGGAGGTGTTTTCTACACCTGTCAGCAGCTAGATTGTCCTCTACTGAAGCTTAGCTGTGTCAGGAATGAAAGCAGTTTTCCTCTTTCTCTCTACTGTCTCACAGGCAGCTGCTGTATGAAGCATAATTGCATGTAATCCAGGCCCTAGTCCGAGGGCTTTAGAAAAAAGCAGCAGACTAGAAAATACCAGCTGGAGAGAGCACCTCCAAACATACTGTGTCATGTTTGCTCATCAGCACACATGTTCTCAGATGAACAAATATGTGTCTCTGCTGAATAGTGGAAAAAGAGTAACCTATATATATATATATATATATATATATATGACTTTTATTTTATTTGTTCTTTGTCTTTATCAATTAGCTTGTTTCTCTACTTGAACTTGTACTCAAATGAATACTAACTCTTATTTTTTCTTTTTAAACACATTTATAGTTATTCAGAAATGAAGCATTAAATTGAACAAAAATGACAGTAAAGGCATTTATAATGTAACAAATGATTTCTATTTCAAATAAATGTTCTTTTGAACTTTCTACTCATTAAAGGATTCAGAGAACAAAAAAATCACAGTGCCACAGTTTCCACAAAAACACAGCACAGCTGTTTTCAACATTATATTATAATCAGAAATGTTTCTTGAGCACCAAATCAGCATGTTGCCATCAAAGGAATAAATTGCATTTTAAAATTTATTATAATAGACCGCATTTGTTTTAAATTGTAATACTGTTTTACAATATTATTGTATTTTTAATTAAATAAATGCAGTCTTGGTGAACTTTCAAACACATTAAAATTCTAAACTTTTAAACCCTGTTAGGAGCCAAAACTTTTGTGTTCTTAACACAAAATGTGTAATTATATATCGATACTGTATATGACTTTAGTGTACACCAGTCTACACCTATAGGATTATTGACTGCTCATAACCGCTGGTTCATGCTACATGCCCCAGTTTTTTTAGTGTATAACCAAACAAACCAAGTTTTGGTTAACATGAAAAATCACTGTAGATACCAAGGAGTACATTTAGAAAGACAGGGTAGCATACAAATGCAAAGTTAATGGGTAGCTGTTAAGTTTCCAGAACTTTCCCTGAATAAAACACTGGCTAGACCAGAATGAATTACCATGTTGGTTTATGCTGGTTTGGTGTTAATAGTCTGGCAGGTGGGCGAACCCTTACCCACAATTGGTGAAGCTGGTTGACCAAAGAACTTGCTGGTTAAACAAGTTAGAAAAGTCTGGTGGGCACATCAGTTTTCAAAACATAACATATGCTTCTGAACAGCTATGCTTCTGTTTATTTTTTCTTTGAAATTCTGAAATTGGTGTTGCAGAAAAGAAAGCAGAGCCAAATGTAATATGCATTTTCTTTGGCGGACTCTCAAGGAGTAAGAGGCCCTATACCTTTATTATAGGGCTTCACGCTTTGGGGTTAGAGGTGTGTTGGGGGAACTAGAGTTTACGGTATATTTTTCAGTTACAGTCTAACGTTCTTAACACCTCATAAATTACACCTGCTGCGACACTGCTGAGGCCTGATGAACTTCAAGCACACTGAGGGGAAGTGAAGTAAGCAGTGAGATCTGTGCGGGATTTTTTTTTTCTCTTTCCTTGAGCAGCCTTTTTTTTAAAAAAAGAGAGTGGTCTTAAGACTGGATAAAAATCTCACTCAAGAAATTGCCTAGTTTGGACCCAGTGAAAATAAAGTGAGATGACCAGAGTTCAGTGCAATGCAGACGTAATGTAAATAAGATATTTATTGTGCAGTTTAGAGAGCTTTATTGACTATAACGAAGCTTTGTGAGATTGCGATGAGCTAAGATGAGTGACGCTTTTTAGTATAATAAAGGGAGCACGCTTTGCACGCTTTCTATGCAATAATCCATTCAGATTTGGTATGAAACTTTTTTTGGACACATACACGCTGCAAAGTTTCGGGAATGACATCCACATATTTATACTGGATTCACTCTCGAAAGCAGTGAGCAGTGATTGACACAGTGATAACCATAGCAATGGACGGTACAAAAAAATATATATAAATATAGCAGCCTCAGTGATTTGATTCTAGAAACGGTCCTGGCCAAACTTCCATAGACCGCGTGAGTTTAGAGCGAGATCTAGTTCATGGACCAAAAGCGTGTGTAAACTTTTTGAAACTTATTGACATCAGGACATATCAACCAGTAATGTAATTTCCAGTAACGGACGGTAGAAAGTTCAGGAATTAATGGTATGTATGAGATTTATGACAGAATATACTGTAGTCCCACAACTGATTTTTTTTTTTTTTTTCTTCTCGCCTTTTCAAATGATACGGAAAAAAGACCAATACATCACTAAGCAGCGTGCACATTTCTGGTTAAAAATGAAAGGCCATCAAGTGACATTTAAAACGGGAAGCATTGCCATTCAAATCAGCAGTAAGATTCAAAGCTAGTCCACAGTTTAGTAAACGTTGGCGACCTCTTTAAGTTATTCTTGACTGTGATGTATTGACTGCTTTGATGTGTTGCAATACGGTAGGGCATTGTTTTGATGCTTACATCCGAAAAATATTTTTCTATATATACAGTATATACACTGTATTTACAAATATGAATAATATGAAAAAACCTGTTTTGAAGTTTTATACGTGTATGTATATATATATATATATATATATATATATATATATATATACACACATATCAAAATTAGTGAACAGCGTACAATTTCCTAAATTTCAAGGTCACTGCTTAGTTCTATTTGAAGTTATCCTAACATGAGTAGAAGGCCAGTTTTTTAGCATATTTCATAAATTAGTTGTATTCTGAAGCACAGTATAAAAAAGCTTAAATGAGAAATTTGAAAAAGAACTTTAAATTAGAGAGCACCTACAGATACCTCCAAGTTATTGGTGTTAATCTGGCACTTGGTGCTAATTTTCTTAATTAT